TCATAAGGACAAGGTTGTACTTTGCCCTGACCCTATTTTCCTGCCTAAAGTTATCTCTTCTTTCCACATGAATGAGACCATTGTCCTACTGGTGTTCTTTCAAAACCCATCTAACCTCATAGAGCTGGCTCTCCATTCTCTAGATGTCCGTAGGGCATTAGCTTTCTACAAATCCAGAACTCAATCCTTCCGACAATCAGAGACTTTTCATTGTGTGTGGCGGCCTGAACTGGGGAACACCTATTTCCCCACAAAGGCTCTCTAAATGGATACTCCACAGTATATCTCTGGCCTATGAACTCTCTGGTCTCCATCTGTCTTGCTGCATTAGAGCATATTTACCAGAGCTAGTTCAACCTCTACAGCTCAGTATGTGGGAGTGTTTCTCACTGACCTCTGTAGAGCGGCAACATGGTAAAATTCCTTGACCTTCATTGTCCATTATTGTCTCAATGTTCGAACTAGAGAGGACCACACATTCGGCTGACCTGTCCTCTCTACTCCACTGAATGACACTACCCTCCTTCATGAGGTAAGCTTGCCAGTCACGCACATGTGGGATGCACAGAGACTGCAAAGAATAAAGGCAGATTGCTTAACTGTTGTTCTTTGAGTGGTCATCTGTGCATTCACACATACCCAACCACCATCCCCACTGGTGTCTTGTACACATATTTGACATGGCGTTGACATATCTCTGATTCAGGCATTACTTCTATGGTTGTCTCACACTCAGAACTGAGGTCTTGGCAGGTCCCCCACCTTTACGCTAGGGATGTCTATGGGCCACATAATTAATTTGCTTTGGAATCTTCCTGAAACAGCACCCCACATGCACACAGAGCCTGCATGTGTGAATGCACAGATGACCACTCAAAGAACAACAGTTACAGGTAAGGAAACCTGCCTTTTTGCCATGCTTCACTTCCTGCTCCTCCCCTCCCCAATCTTTCTGAAATCAAATGCTTTTGTCTTCCCTGACTATACATCCCTTTCTACACAAAAGGGTGTCCTCTGGAGACAGGGCCTTTGAAAGATGCTCCCATTGAACGAGACTTTAGAAAATACACAGACTTGTGCTCTTTTCCTTCTCCTGTGGGTCTGAGCTCCACATCTTCTTGGTACCTAGCAAAAAGATATTCCTGGAAGACAAGTCTCAAAACTACCCCATATGGGGCAGGAGCACCCAGCGGATCAGCCTGGCTCCTACCCCAAAGACGTTCTCTGGGACAGGAGCTGGAAAGGCCCAGGATGTATCTGAGACTGCAGCAAATGCAGGAAACTGTCAGCCATGTTCTCTGGCTAGCCACTTAGCAAGAGCAGCAACCACCATGGTTGCCAAGCAGCTCACTTGTCCTAAGATTTTTGTGATGACTTCAGGTGACACAACAAGCAAACCTGGTAGGGAGAAACCCTAAAACAGATGGTTGTGTCTGATCATGGTTGACAACCATGAGAAATCACAACGGTTAATCACAACTGCATTTGGGCAACATGACAAACAACCTTTTAAAAAATTGTTGCTTGTGCTGTGCAGACTTTGTCAGTACTAAGTTCTGCTGAGGTCATTGGGTATAGGTATGCCTAATTCTCTGTGGATAAATGCAGCAGCTGATCTCAAGGGGGAAGGGTCTAATCCAATCCATAAACACCCAGTGTTTAGCCTATACATAAACTGCCTGAGCATAATGGAGTTTTTAGACTGGTGTTACCTTGCATTCTGGAAAGTACATATAAAACCTTGGTGAAACTATTTTCAATGCCTTTTTTACATGTTTTCATTTCATTTTTACATTTAATGTGTATGTGTATGTAAGAAAGTTCATCTACTAATAAGTTAAAATTATAATTGCAAACAAAAGCTAAGATTGTTTTTCCTACAGAGATTTAAAAACATGAATACAAATCTTTTGTAAACATTAATGTAATCAGAATATTTGCTTGTATAACATCATTTATATATTTTAATTATGTCATATTTACTTTCAGCACAGAATTTAGATGAAGGTTTATACAGAAGCTTAGTATTGACTGTACAGAATATGAGTTTTTTTGGCCCACTTTTGATTATGAATTTCTGGATGTAAATAGCTATAATTTATTTTCACTTTATATTGGTCATACAGTAATGTGAAAACCTTTGGTTTGATCCAGCAGAAAGCTTCATGTATACTTTAGTTTGCAAACCTAAAGGAACACTGAACTCTGTCACACTTACTTCTGAGTATAGATGGTTCAGCTTGTACTGTGAAAGTTATTAAGAGCAGAAATAGGCAAAGGAAATGACGAGGCCTGGCCACTTGCACTGCCACCCACCCCCAGGAGAAGAAACGGGGAGCAGGGTTATTCCACTAGCCTGGCTTACGTACTATTTGCACCTCTTTCTTCCCGGTGTCCCTTTCCTTAAGTATTTCTTTTTAAATTGCAAACCAGCAGTCAGGGACTGCATTTTTTGCTGATTGATTGAAAGTCACTGTGGGAGCTTTTTTTTGGCTGGAATGTGGGATAAAAATATTTCAAATAAATAAGTCAATTCATTTGTCTTTTCTTGTCTTTTTGTTTCTTTTGAAGTCAGGCAGACTCAAAGCTTATATGCAATTTTACTAAGTTCGTATCTGGAACAGGCCCAGAATTCTTAATGCTGTCTTGGAATCTTTTTGAGGGATAAAGTGCCGAATATCTGTGTGGAGATGAATCGAACACTTTCTCTTTTCTTCATGCAAATGTTCCCTTACAAAACCGAGTACTTCCTTCAGATAATTACTGCATCCAGCTCAGCTTCACACAGTACTTCATAAAATGATTGCCCTGATTCCTACAGGCTTTGGGATATTGAATGATAGGCCTTTGGCTTTTCTGCTTGTTAGATTAACATCAGAAAGCAGAATTTGCATCTGGCCAATCCGGCCCTTAGTCACTGAATCAGCAAATGGAGCTAAAGTTGAATAATAATGGGAAGACTTGCTTCCAAGTACTCCAGGACACACAATATTTCATGTAGTATGCGGCTCACAGGAGCAAAATCAGAAAAGCCATTAAAAACTGAATGCATCATATTCATCATGTCAGTAGAGGTTATCGTTATATATCCCAAAGTATTTATGATTTTCAGACTATAAATGTGGCATTTACACTTGAACTGAGAATGTTACTGACACTGTTTTGAATGTTGGAAGTGTACATGTTTTTCTTTCTTTAGTTCAGATCTATATTTCTAACATTGCATAAAATAGATTACCAATATAAAATGCCTTAATATATAATCATACCAAAATTATCGATACCTGCTCTTTTTGTTAACTCTCTACCCTTTCATTCTTTCTAAATAGCATTACTGGCTTGCCAGCACCTTCCCAACATATTGTGTGTATCTAAACCTTTATATTTGCTTTCACTGAATTTATCTGCTTTCTTCTATGATCCCATCGTTTTGGATGTTTCAGCATATTGCTTACCATTCTTAGCATTTCTTTCTGGTTTTGTGTCTGCTACATATATGACTTGGACAGTTGTAATAGATATTTTTCAATTACCCATACAAGAAAACAGATTAAAATGGGATGGAAAGAGGAGAAAATAGAGAGGAAATGAAACACACCTCTTTGTTGCTATTGACCATTTTCCTGAAAGCTATATTTCTCCAGACAGTATCACATTGAACAATGCCATTGCATAGGTACCATCTATCTGTAATGTAGTATTATGACTTCTACTGTTCTGTAAGCATGGAGGTTAAAGGCGGGACCCATTGGCCCTGTATTCTTTCCTTAAGAATAGTAGGAACTCAGCCTTGCTAGCAAACAAATTTGCTTAGCCTGCAGATGCTTTGTCTTCAGATGTTTCCATTCCTTGGTGTTTACAAGGCTTAAGTTCTCAATTTTAACAAGATAGCTAGAAAGCAGAGAGTGTGATGGATACAAGAGCATATAAGAGCACATGTAATGCATAGTCAGGTTTGAAAATATTATTTTTATGATACGTTAAGCCCAAGTCTCCAGACCATCCAAGAACACTGCCTTCCCTGATTAACAAGAGTCAGATATACACCCCTGTTATATGCCTTGGGATTTTAAAGCATTACATTAATGTTGCCACTTCTTTTCTTCATTCTACTACTGCTTATTCCCTAAACCAATTAAATTGCAAACAGGAGAATTTAAAATCTTTAGCTTTGATAACAAGCAGCAAAGCAAGCAAGGCCTGGGATGGGATGGTGCTGAAATATGATTGCTTAATGTGCACATATTAACAGAAATAATTGGATTGCTAAAAATCTGACAAGAGGTAAATCTTTATAAGCTTTACCTCTCATCAGCCATTAAATCAATGGATGTTGTGCACTTGTAAGTTCCTAAGTACTCCACTTTTCAGTAATGATTGTTTGTTAATTTTCAAATTAAAATTGGTTGCTATTATTCCTTGGAACAAAGCCATACAATCCTCCTGTTAATAATTGTTATAAAATGAATGGTGAAGGGGTATTAGAAATTTAGACTGCATTACAATTGGAAGGGTTCATGATTTCCCACATCCTTGGATAGTATTGGTTGTGTAGCTACCATACTTTCATGTTCATAATTGCTTAGTTTTTTTTTTCTGGAGAGAAAGAGAGAGAGATTGAAAAAAATAGATTCTATCCTATGTATATTTTGGATCTGGCATCCGGGTCTTGGTGCTACTGGTTAATTAAACCTTGGTTCTGAAGCTCCTTCCAAGTTCTGAGTGGTAGCTCCTATTGCTAGGAGTGAAGATTTTAAAATGCCATTTCCCTCAAAACAGTAATTAAACAATATTCAGTAGAGCTATGGACATTTCTGAATAAATGTGGTTTTAACACAATAAATTCTCCTTAACCACAACAATGCGGAATGGTTTTGCTTTGTTTTGTGTATTGGGGCTGTGCAGTTTCTTTCACTGAAAAAGGCTAGAGCCGGTAATTTGGGAGCCTGTGGTATGGGTGTGTCATTACTGAAAGTTTTTGTTTCCTTTTCATCTCTTAGGTTCGGTGAAATTACTGAAGTTAATGGAAAGGCTTACGGAAGGATTCCGTAAGGATTCTGTTCTCTACACACATAGTCAATCATTTCTACTTACCAGTCATACTAAAATATTTCTATAAAACCCAAAGAACATTTGCAGCATTTGGTAATGCAGTAAGCATACACCCTGGCTAATTAATCAATATTGAAACCAACTATGTATGTTTGGCTGGAAGGACTTGTCTAGAAGTGGTATCTTAATCAAAGAATATACCAATCAAAGTATAGCTACTGGATCAGAAAAACATCGGTAAAAGCAAATTAAATGTGAAAATATGAACAATAAGACAAAGTATAGCAGCCAGACACACAATATCTCCCCAAAATCAAAGAATAAAAAGAACAAGACATAAACACAGAGAAAACCTCCATCATAAGAGTCTGGTGTAACAAAATGTCTATGACCAAACAGGTTTTACACACTAATTGCTGCTGGTGAGGGAAATTCCATACAGATTGAAATCTCAAGTAGCCAGGCCTCAGTAAGTAAAATTTTCTTCTAACGTGAAAGCAACTAAAGTATTATTTTATATGCCCCATGAAATATATCATTAAAAATAAAATTAGGAGTAAAATTTTCAAAGGCCTGGGAAAATTAAAAAAGTATTTTCTTGGCTCTGCGAAGTCAGTGAAGAAGACACCAGACAAAACCCTAGGGAGGAAATTTGGTAATTTGGAAAAGTCTTAGTTACAAGTAGTCACTCATCAAAGCTTAGTATGTGGGAGAGCTTAGGACAGAGCCTCAGATAATGGTCTCAGAGCTTGGGCAGAGACCAATGTGAAGAAGTGGGCCTTTAGATACCTTCATCTGTATTTCTGCTGACAAAAATTATCTTGCAGGGTGATCCAGGCAGTTTGCATACCAAAACCAGGCCTCAAGTATGATTGTAGGTGATTTAGAAAATATAGCCTTCTGTAGTCTACACATCCTCAACACGTATTTCCATTGGCCTTTTAGACAGCAGTTGCTGGGGAAGCTTAGGCTGATTTTGCTTTTGATGCCAAAGCTGCCCTGCTGCCTGGCTTCAGCGCACCCTTACGGTGCACCCTAGTCAAGGCCTACTTAGAACCAAAGTAAGTGAGCCAACTGTTTGTGCATGAATGCTCTGCATTAAAGGGAAAAAAGGCACACACAGGTCTAGACACATGAAGGAATTTGAATAGGGCCACTGCACTGAGGGAGCAAATTAAGGCTTCCCCCACATGCTGCTTCGCCAGGCTAAATTTCTCTCCCCTGACATTGCTCTTTACCTAGGAACCAATGTGGGACCTTGTGCTTTCAAATAGTTTGGGTGGGGGCTGAAGAGAGACAGTTCAGAATGTGAAAATGTTCCTGCAGGACATCAGCCTTGACCCAATTAATGCACCCACACAGCTGCTTTTAAATTTTAAAAGGTCATCTAGTTTGGTTTATCACTAATGTAATAAACCTGTCTCTGGGTTGCACCATGTAAGAATAAAGATGAAACTAAAAATGTTGCATATAGAAAAATCATGGAAAGTGGAGCCATTCTGCCATGTTACCTTTTCTGTACAGGAGTTACTTAAATTATTAGTTTTGTTCATCAATATATAATGGGGAGTTGTGTGACCCCTCCACCTGTAATTTGAAGTGGTGTGCCATAAATAGAAATTTGCCTTCTCTGATCACAGTTTCTATAGAGTAGCTGCTAACATATCCTAAACTCTGGGAACAAACATATTTTCATTTGGCTTCTATCTGCTGGTGGTTATGTCTCTGTGTGCATGCAACCCTTATATTGGCCATCTGCAGTATTTCTGAAGGATTAGCTAAAATACCTTCCCTCACCTCCTGTAAGTACATTCTGAAGTTCATGCCCTCACTTATTGGTAAATACAACAGATGTTCTTTCAGAGTGATGTTTATTTACAGTGCTTTCTCTATTATACCAAATAAATTATTAACACAAAAATAATTGAATATTGAATACACCTTGCCAAGGCAACAATCTTTCATCAAGTCTGTCACGTAAGATGCTGCAAGTGCGCTTTCTAATTAGCAAAGTGGACCTAGTAGATTAAATATATCAAGCTGTTGAGAATCATGATCTATGCTTGCTCTACTTGTGCCAAAATGCAGTAGCCAATTCAAAAATATTCTCCATGTAGTTTATATGCAGGAAGGTGCAGGAAGAGTTACACTGATTCTGGTCCGTGGCTCAGCTCCCGTCCCTCCCCCTCCCTGTCACTAAATTTAGGTGGGAAAAGTGGCAGTCTAGATAAAATGCAGGGTGCAAGGTGGGCACTGAGGAAGACCGCTACCACTGCACCCTGTGCTTTGTATTGGATGCTCCAGGTTGAGGGGCTTGCAAACACCTGCCACAGGGGTGGTGAGATTGCATTAGGTAAGTGGGAACACTTCACTGTCTTTTCAAAAGTAGATTTGAAGATCTTTTTAAAAAATGGTGCACAACATTTCACAAGGAAAATTCTCATCAAGATGCTTAATATGCTTATGAAATAGACATGTATATAGATATGAGGCCTGTAAATCTTATCAGGAGACTGATTCTTCTGGATTCCCAGGACCTGATCAAGTTATGTGTTTCTGAGTCACATTCACAACTTGAGATCCTTTTACATGGGGAGATCCAAGACTGAAAGTGGATCCCCCATTCATGCAGAGTATGTTCCATCATTGCACTCAGGACCCTTCTTGCCAGCTTTGATCTCTATTAATTCCCTAACAAACCCATTCTATGTGCAAACCCACAGATTGTAAAGAAGCAAGAGGAAGAAAGCTTAGGTGATGACATTTGTTTATTTTATATACCAGGGGTGGCCAGACATTCTCAACAGAACTGCCACATATGGTAAATGTCAGATGTTTGAGAGTTGCAAGACATGAACAAATATTTATGTATCTTTTATGATACTGCTCCAGTTATCAGGCTAGTTACTGAGGTCAATTAGCTCTGTTAGGTGTTAATTTGTAAGGCTTGCACAATGCTTTGACTTAACAAACCTCATTAATATTTAACCCATTCAACCCTTTTCTTTCTACTCTTGCATGCCTCTTGCAAACTGCCTGATTCCCCAACTGATTAGTCACCGTGGTCATGACTAATAGATTATATAGACAGAATTCACCTTCATAGTCCCTTTAGGGGGTTACCTACAAGCTGCATGTATTTCCTGTATGCTTGAATAAACTGTATTTTTATTGTACACACCCAGTGTACCTGCATTCAGTGTTTTTTGACAACTACAACTCCCATCAATCACAGCCAGCATGAACAATGGATGAGATTATACAAGCTGTAATCCAATAACACTTGGAGGGCTGCAGTGTGGGAAAAACAGGTTGAAAGCATAATATTATGAAAGTTTCAAAAGGAAAAAAAGCCCAACAATGGCCAGCAGAATGCTGGGAGTTGTAGAACATTTTTCTGTTGAACATGCATAAGTTTGCTCCTTTAAACATAGAAACGTGGCACCACCAGCATCCCTACAGCCATCACCATCATTTCATGCCATGCTTGCAAGCAGGCTTACTATTACACTGGGCGTTGGGTGGTTCCCGTGGTTTAGGACTGTGGCTGTATTCCAAAGAGACAGCATTTCCTGCAGTGGCTGGCATGGAAGGCGGAGCAAGGAGATTCATGTGCACCATGTTGATGCTGCCTTCCAAGCCCAACACCACTGTGTGGTGCATGGTGAGGATGCAATCCTTCCCCTCTGCAAGCCACAAAATGCACTCAAAGTGCCACATGCAGCTCATGAGCCATGGTTTTGCCATCCTTGTTATATATACTTCGCATATTAAAGTAATAAAAGAAACTCTAATCTAGGACAGTTTCGGGCTTCTGAACTGGGTAAGGTGTTACTGAGAGGCACTATAAGATTAGACACTGCAAGAAAGTACCATGTAAGTGCATCCACAGCCACCCAGGTTACTTGCAGGTTATTCTTTTTTTTATAATACATTTTATTAAAATTTTAAACTAACACTAAAAACATCAATCATCAAATACATCAGATGTACTGGGTCAGCCCCCCACTCATATTTTTTTAACATTCCATAGTCATATTTAAATCCATTTATGATAGTTTTAAAACATATTTAAATCTAAACCAGGTCCTGTTTCTCTAGCCAATAATAAAAAGAGTCCCAGGTTTGATAGAAGTCAGTATCTTCTTTCTCCTTCAGTGATATAGTCAATCTATCCATTTCTGCACAGTCCTGAATCTTTTTAAAAATCAGTTCATCGGTGGGTAGTTCCTCACTTTTCCAGTGTTGAGCGAATACAATCCTCGCTGCAGTGATTACATGTAAAATCAAATACATTTCTTGTTTGCTACTGTCTTCTGGTATGATGCCCAATAAAAAAACTTCAGGTTTAAAAGCTAGGGGTTTCTGTAACATTTCCTCAAGCCATTTATGCATTTTACTCCAATACTTTTTCACATTGTTGCAAGTCCACCACATATGATAAAAAGTACCCAATTTATACTTACATTTCCAACATCTATTTGACATATTTGGAAACATCTTAGCTAATCGATTTGGCGACAGATACCATCTATAACACATTTTATATAAGTTTTCTTTATACGAAGTTGCTAATGTTACCTTAATATTTCTCTCCCACAGCTTTTGCCACTTTTCTAATTCACTATTATAACCAAAATTTTGTGCCCATGTTATCATAGTTTCCTTTACCTGTTCATCTTCCATTTCCCTGTCAAGTAAAAACTCATATCATCTTTTAATCGTTTTCTCATCTGATTTGAGCATCACTTGATCAAACGCTGTTAATTCCTTATAAAAACCTCACGCTTTACAATCTTTAGCATATCTCGATTGTATCTGCACCTTGTGCCACCAAGAAATATTAGATCCCTGTTCTTGTGTTTCTTGATCTAATTTCAGGCCTCCATCCTTATCTAAAATATCATATCTTATAATCCCTTCAAAATTCAATGCATTTGGATACACAAAAGCTTCCATGGGTGAAAGCCATCTTGGTAGTTTATTATACAATTTT